CTGCCCCCCCCCCCCCTCAGGTCAGGAAATTCGTGTTCATGCCGTAGCTACAAAAGGTCCGTGCTACTTTGGTGAAGTATTGATGGATCCTGATTTGGGTTGCTTATATGCTTTGCGGGCGTTTGGGCAGGAAAGCGAATGACAACCAAAGGCCACCCCTCCAAAAAGCAAAGGAGTATGCCAAATTTCCGAGTGAGGGGGCCTGATACTTCTTGCAAATCAGCCCAAACCACCCACCAACAATAAACCTATCTATTTTGTTGCCAATCCCACCTACCGACGCCCTCTGTAATCTCTGCATCGTTGAGAGGCACTCATGATCTAAATGATCTGCAGGGCCTGCATGGATCACATTCGAATTCAATACGGTGGAGAACTGCAGGGCAGGAGCCACCTGGCAACTACTTACCTGGAACAGCTCTTGATCTTCTTACCTTCTGCCCAAAAGCCATGCCCCTGAACCACAGCCGACCTGGACCTAACCCCCCAAGGAAACAGCTTCCTGGGAAGTCCCCCTAAGAAGCCAAAACCCAACAACCATGCCAAGCCTGAAAGAGGAAGTAATCCCATCTCCCGAATATCAATTCGCCCTGCCACCTAACAATAAATACACCCGAAAGTACCATTAATCACCAGGGGATATGTTGTGTTGCTAAAAGAGCGAGGGGGCTTATTATCAAAGAGAAGGGATTGCGAGGGGTCCAGGAAAACCTGCCTCGATGCGCTTGGGGTCTGGGCTCAAGTAGCTCAGAGCCTGGCAAGCCGGCTTTCCACATTCAAGGGGGGTCCGAGATCACCGCCATTTTTGATCCCTGCAGAATACGCGGATTCTCATTTCATTAACCCCCAAGACCTGAAGCCCAAAACACATTCGCTGGTGGCAAGGCCTCCAAGGCGCGAGGGAGACGATCAATGGGCAGACCTGGCCATCTACAAGGGTTGAGGGTTTCCTGCTTTAGGGTTTCAGGATTCATGGGTTTAGTGGTGGTTTAAGTTTTTAGGGGTTGTTGCGGATGTCCAAAGCTTTCTGCATGGGCCATGCGCGTCCTTCTCTCTCTATCGTTCAAATTTGATTGGGAGATCCTCGGAAAAATACAAGGGCGTAGGATTAATGCCCCCAATCTACACAGGTCACATGTGAGGGCCTGTGGATCGCCTGTGGAAGGGCCACATGGGAGGGATTGTTGTTATTAGGTGGGGGGCATCAGCCAAGGTTTGACGTGCTTGGTTCAAAGCTTTTGACTGACACAAATATTGCTCAGAATGAATGAAAGCTATAGTCCCCTTTAAGTAGATAGAATATGGGGTATAAGGGGAACTTATTATAGCATACTCAAAGCCATATTCTATCTACCTAAGGGTGACTATATCATGCGCAGGAAATGACAACGACTGGTTGTTTGAAGGTTAAGCCAATGTTCAGGATGGCAACAGATCTGATAGGAAGAACAAAGCCAGTACCACGCATCATCTCTCCCACTAGAACTAAACCCCCCGCCTGTTTTTCGGGGAGGGGATTAACAATAATAATCACCATGGTTCGGATGATTCTTCTCTCCCAGTGAGCTCATGTTATTAGCCCTGAAGCTCCTACACGGTGGGCTTCGAAGTCGTCAAAAACTACTGTCGTAGGTAGGCATATCACCCAACACTGGCATCCTTCTAGCTATCACAGGAGCTTATAAGTCCTATATAGTGTGTAAGAGTTGACAAGCAGTCCCTCTCTGCTTGCACATGCCCGCACTTGCCTACCTGAGTCTGGACACGCTGACGTGCGCGATGCTGCATCAGTTTCCTAATCTGCCACCGGGACATCTGGTCTATGCGAAGTTTTCCCCATTGCGGCCGCTGGATGCTTGAGGAATACCCGTCCATTTGCTTGACTCTACGGCCCTTCTGCTGATTTCAGCACATGAGCCCTGACAGCCCGAAAGTTGCAAGCATTCGATTTGAGCTCTACTTAAGTACATCCACAGCTGTGCCGAACAACACCCCCCACTTCGCGGAGGATATTGCGGAGCGAAGCCCGAGTGAGGCAGCGACCATCCTGTTCAGAACGTAATAAGGAAATCGAAATGCTTCCTCGCATCTTGCCAGCTCACGAAAGCAGTGCCAATTTCGGGAAACAGTATCTTGACCATCTCCTGCCCCATACAGTGCTTTGACCTGACCCATCTCGCCAACTGGCAACTCAAGCAGCTCATGTTGCGCCCTTGGTACTATGTAAGCGTCAGATCCTAAGATCCGCAAGCATGCGCGATTTTCTTCACGCGGGCCACATCTCCGTACACCAGCCACAGAGGTTTTGACGTGTTGCCTTCGGTCTGGGTCGAAGCTGCAAGCTGCTTCACGGAAGCTTGCGCACTGGCCTCCTGTCTTTCTGCGAAAGGACTGTCCAAGCATACTGTGTGGTTGCCGCTGTCCAGGAGATCAAGCTCATCAACCCAACCATGCTGAGAAAGTATCCCCGCGGCTGGCATGTTTCCGGAGCCTCTCTCGTCTTCTGAGCTGCTGTCTAATCTAGTCGCATGCTCGGTCTGCGTGGCTTTCCTTTGATACTTCGCTGGTCTCCACACCAGAACCCGGCCCTTGGCCTCCGAACCTCGCATGGATGCTGCATCTACTCGACAATGGGTTTCGTCCGGTGCCAACTTGTCCACTTGCTCGGCCGGTAGAGCAAGGCTCTTAACCTGTGTAAGAGTTGACAAGCAGTCCCTCTCTGCTTGCACATGCCCGCACTTGCCTACCTGAGTCTGGACACGCTGACGTGCGCGATGCTGCATCAGTTTCCTAATCTGCCACCGGGACATCTGGTCTATGCGAAGTTTTCCCCATTGCGGCCGCTGGATGCTTGAGGAATACCCGTCCATTTGCTTGACTCTACGGCCCTTCTGCTGATTTCAGCACATGAGCCCTGACAGCCCGAAAGTTGCAAGCATTCGATTTGAGCTCTACTTAAGTACATCCACAGCTGTGCCGAACAACATATAGATCACTACTTGCTCATCACCTGAGCTTTTCCCCAGCTAGTTTCAGAACCGTTCAAGGTATAACGAGCTTATGGCAGATTCAGGTACATTCTGTGCTTCCCGATTTTGAGAACCCATATGCAGAACCATAGCTATATCTATACATGTCTATACCAAATCGATGTCAAAGCTCTGAAACAATGAGCCCTGACATCTCTGCAAAGCACCAAACGATTAGACTCCTGAGTAAGTTCCTGCTTGCTCCGTGCCGGATCGGCCGTTCCCACTGTTTGGAGGATACCTAGGGCCCAGCTTTCATCATGGGCTTTGAGTTCAGGAGTGGGCTGAGAATTTTCAACCAAGGTTCAGACCCCCAGATTGGCTCTGGGTTTCGGCACTTGGGGCTTAGGGGCCCGGTGCCAAAAAAACAAGGCTCGATTGCAGAAGTTAAGGACCCAAAAACACGCGGTAGGATGCTTCGTGGGTCGCAAGAGGGGGATCCATAGTTGCATTAGACCAAACATGAACTCTCTCAAAAATTGGGGCCCTTTCCTGAGCAGCAAGTATCTAGATGGTGTACAATGGCAGAACCTCATTTTTGAAAAATGCGCGTGAGATGGCCAAGACTCTACGCATCTCTGCACGCAACTACACCGAGCAAATCGCAACAATCCCAAGGCCAATGGCAACTTCTTTCTGTAAAAAATAATCAAAAAACTGGAATATGCTCAAGTAAACTGCAGCCCCCGCTTTTTGCCGGAAAGTTCAGCTGCAGGATCACGCTTGCGGCAAATGTTGTAACCATTTTTCAGGAGGTGCTGACTCTGACCTTAACAGCCTTCCTAGTCTCCCCGCTTTGCAGAGCTCATTTCGGAAAAAAATGCAGATTGAAGGCGTATCACTGCCGGCACGATCTGAAATTCCTGAACCAAGGAATCTTAGGAAAAGGTTGTTTTGAATAGAAGATTCTGGCGGAGGAGCGAAGCTCCTGAGGCTGGCAGGCAAAAGAAGTAAGGGTACAGAGCGGACAAGCGGGAAACAAGGAGTTTGTATTTTGTATGCCTGAAACCGACCCACCACCACCTAACAAAATTGAATATGTGTCTTGGTTGGGGCCACAGCCAGCGTGGAAATAGAACCAGCATATAGCAAAAAGCTCAGCAAATCAACAGCTAATGCTAGCTTTCGACCAAGAACTGTTAAAAGCTTGATGCCTTATTGGCCCCTTTAGCTTTCTAGAAACCTGCAAACAAAGAACTACCCCACGGGTTTCCGAACCCAGCCAGGGAGCTCCATTGAAGCATGCGTGGCCTGAACTTTTGCATTCCGCGCAATCTCCCGTACCTTTCCGCCAGCTTGCTACCGTCACATAGGCTCTCGTACGGACCAAGTAATAGTACCACAAAGCTGTACCAGGAGCCTGCAGGGTTGTCTACGAGGGTTCTGGTTTGGGCTGGAATCGTATAGAGGCTGGGTAATAAAAGTCGTGGGAAGTAAATTGGTATGGGGCACGAGGCGGTTGCAAGCACTGCCACAACCGCATGAAACACGTCGGTACAGCGATGAAACACCCCGAACCCCCAAATCCCTCATGTGAAACGTGTCCCCAAGCATACCTCCGCTGTCATGGTGAATCAACACTACGGGGAATCGATGAGTGGCGATTAATCTAATGAAACAAATTGATAGGCCTCCTTCTGCAGGGTTGGATCCGGCTTGCTCCGTGGGCTGCCGTCCTCCTCCAGATCCTCCTGCAGCTCTCACAGAGAGGTGGCCGGGAAATGTTCAGCATTAGTGTAGATCTAGGGGCAACGACAGGAGGCATGCGAGCAATTTTTGAGTGTAGCATTCAGAGTTTAGGGTGAAGGATTTGGATGGAGAGCTTGGTATTTAGAATGGACTTCTAACTGAGAGGGCGACACTTGGTCCCAGACTCCTCGGAGATAAGTCCACATGCTGTGACCACTTTGGACATGGGGTGTCCCAACAGGTGCTCAAAACAACGACAGGTCCATAACCAATGGACAATTCACCTGAGGGTGTTTATGATCCGACTTGGTGGGCAATGTATAAAAGCACTCTGGAAGAACTGGAGTGTACAACAAGATCCCAGACCTCGGAAGAAGACCGACCTACCTCAGACCTTGACGGAAGACTCAGGCAGAATCTTTGACCCATGTGGTAAACCGTAGTGTCCATTGCATGTGAGCTGCACAAACACGCAGGCGAACTCAAAAACTCCCTGAATACGCATGAGGCGGTCTGCCATGTATATTGCTGCCCCTAGCCCTTACACATCCTCAGTCCCAAGAGCAGCCACCCTGTGTTCAATAGCCGATGATTCCCAAGATTCAGCGAAAGGAGTCAGAGAAAAAAAATCATGAAAGGCAAGCCTTAGCCGACCTTCCCAATGAATCTTCTCCTCCTTCTGAAGCTCCAACATTCTTCTTAGCCCGAATGATGAACGCATCACCACTCTTGTTGAACAAGGCTGAACCTGAAAACCCAGAAGAGTCCAGAACAATCTTGCGGTAAACTTGGGGCGGCAGTGGCTCTCTTTCAAATACTACTCACCTTCCCCCAATTATGAACCCCCATCCCCACCCCCACATGTTCATCGCGGTCCCCAAACAATGGAGACTCTGATAAGGAATTTAACAATGCAGGGGCGCAGGCCCTGAACCCTAAACCTTGAACCCGAAACACCAAACAGTGATTACTCGCATGTCATACTCCCCACCTCTTGCGGGCCCAGGTCATCATCCCCACCCCGCGCGCTCTTTGGCGACCTCTAGCTGTCTATGTTGACATCTCTCTTCCAAACATTAGAGGGACCCTCATAACACCCCCTTTCCAATCCCATGATATTTCTTCATATATGTACATGTCACAAGAAGCTTTATGCATGATTTGGTCACTCCTTGTCCCTTGCTCTTTACTATTATGGTCACTACTGATCGGCTTTACCATTTTCATCCATGTTCATGAACACAATTGCGATTACCAATAGATCTAGGGGTACTATTACAAGTAACGTTGCTATTCCTATTCCTCACTACGTGTGTCATTCCTATTCCTCTTCCTGTTCCTTGCTGTTACCATAATGACTACTACTACTACTACTACTACTAGTAGCCGCCCCCCCCACCCCCTAGGGCCTACACTTTACTTA